ACCGTTTCTTAGCCTTCCCTCTTTCTCCCCCTCACACGTTGGCCGTTTCCCTGTCACTGTCGTGAATCAGAGATATATATATATACATATATGTATATATATATATATGTGTATATATATATATGTATATATATATATATATATAACGTTCGAGGATAGTCGTCGGAAGACCCGCGAAAAAACCGAACGGAGAACGCACGAACACACGGTAACGACGTCGACACGGCGTGTCGCGTGACCCGCGTTCTATGACGACGACGACGGCGTCGAGGACGACGACGGCCGTCGGTGGTGGTCAGTCGGCGTGGAATGAAGTTGGCCCGCGGGTTAGGTTGGGTTAGCCGAGCCGGAGTTGCAGCATCAGCGAGGAGAGAGGGACGAGAGGAGGGCAGAGAGCGCGCGAGCGAGCGAGCGAGCCATGTACGAGGAAGGGGCGGGAGGGTAGAGAAAGAGGGAAGGAGAAAGAGAGAGAGAGAGAGAGAAAAGAGTAGAAGAGAGAGCGGAGCGGAGGGGAGGGGGAAAAGCACCGAGGGAGAACGAGGAGCGACGGACTGTGGAGTTGGAGAAAGGAGGGAGAGAGGGAGAGAGAAAGGGAGATCGAGCGAGATAGCATAGCGAGGCAGAGGGTGGGGTTGGAGTGAGAGAGGCGTAAGGCGTAAGTCTGCCCTAGTCGCTCGCTTAACCGTGCAGGAGGTGGCGCCAATATAACCCGTACTCCACCTCCGTCCGACAAAGAGCTTGCGTATACCTGTATGCGCCTGTTGGTAGGCCATACCGCCTACTGACTACCGTATTGCAGGATTTGCGATCCGTGCCGCCTGTAATTATTGCGATTTCACTTATATTCCGTCATGCTTCTTGTTTTTTACGTGGCTCGTTTGCTTGCTGCTTCCCCTCGATGTCCCTTTTTCTCATATGTAGGGTGGAGTGCATATCGTGGTAAGAATTGAAGAGGAAATTGAAAAAATTGAAGAGGAAGGAAATGTGAAGAAGATTAATACAAGGCTTCGTTTTTGAAGAAATTGATTGTGAAGTTTTATGTATTTGAGAGGAGAACAATCTCGATTGAAATTTTTCTTTGTATTATTTTATATTTATAGACAATTTATAAATTACAAATTATCTATACTACTTCAATTATATTGTAAATATTTTATTAAAATTTCATTTAAATAAATGATAATTATCACAACAATATGTTATTTCATTAAAAAATTATGGTATCTATTCAAAAAGTAACTAGTCCTATCATTGATTTAAAGAAATTGATTGTGAAGTTTTATGTATTTAAGAGGAGAACAATCTCGATTGAAATTTTTCTTTATATTATTTTATATTTATAGACAATTTATAAATTACAAATTATCTATACTACTTCAATTATATTGTAAATATTTTATTAAAATTTCACTAAAATAAATGATAATTATCACAACAATATGTTATTTCACTAAAAAATTATGATATCTATTCAAAAAATAACTAATCCTATCATTGATTTATAAAAGTTAGAAAACATTCTTAAAATGCCAAATATTAATTAATTACGCAACAGATAATTAATAATAATTGTCTATAAATTAAATGAAATGGAATGAAATAAATAATATGTACGAACCGAATAATTACGTATAAAAAAATCCATTCAATCAATTCTTTTTACTTGTACAAGTACATATATACAATTTCACAATCGATTTATATTAAAAATTACTATTTCACATTTTTGATTTTCTTAAATACAAAAAATTTTCAATATATTATTCGATACTTTGTATACTATTCGAATAATGTGGTTTTGTATACTTATGCTCGACATTATTCTATAGGTTAACCACGAAATTTTCTTTGAGCGACGCCATCTTAGAAAATATTAACAACGACGCACTTTCGCGACGCGAGAATTATCCTCGATCTGTGAATCGAATCAGATATCTATAAATGTTTTAAATTTTTTGTACGAGCGATTAACATCTTTCTCCACCGCGAAATCGTTCTTTCTAGCGATCGTGTATCGCGTTACTTATCGCAATTACCGCAATTCTCCATTTCCTCGAATCGATCTGTCGACAAGAGGACGATAGTTCATTGGCGCCGATAAACGATCGTTATCCTCGATCGAACTGCCCTTACCTTTCACGTATACCTCCCAGTAATCGGCGACGATGTGGGCGGCATAGCGGATTCCCTGGGACAACGCGAACCTCGAACTCGCAAAGGATGCCTCGATCTCTCGACGATCCGTACGTTGTTCGTTCTTCCATAGCTCGAAGAACTGTGGCGAATGCGTGGCTCGGTATGTTTACGTCTTTCACTAATCGACACGCGTAAATTTACGTCGTATGTATTCGCCCTCGAATGTTACGATTTGTAATCGAAAATTTATTCCACGAATTTTCCATCACTGTTGTTATATATACCGTTAACACAGTATAACGAAACAAAGAATGTCACGCGAGGTTAGAAAATATAAACCAACATTACCGACGTGCTTGCGTGGACTGACAGCCTAAAAATTAGATGGATGGTGTTGCGATGACGTCAGGAGTGGGGATACTGCACGATCAAATTCACAATTATGCAGTGAATTAAGTTTTGAATTTCAAAAGATATATATTATATTAAATATATAATTAGTTATATTAAATATATAATTATATATTATATAATTATTTTGCATTATTATATTAATTGTAACGAAACGCGAATATTTTGTATAGTAAGTAACGGAAAAAGATCGAATGTAACAACGAATGTAGTACCATTGCACCAATGAAAAGCGAGCATTCGTTTACTTGAATATAATTGGTCCGACGATGCTTTATAGAAAACTATAAAAGTCGGAATATCTCGAGTAAAAGTTAATTGGAAACCGAAGGCGTACGTGATACGTATGGAACAATTCTCTATTATATTTTTCATTTTGCAACAATTTTTGTTATTGAAATTACATAATCGTCAAAATCGACAAATTGTGATACAATCTTTCATCTTTATTATATTATAAGAGGTATTGCTATTATCTTTTTATTTTAATGAAATTTACACCTGTTTTCTGAAAAAATGAATTTTACATGATACTTTTCTTATCTTTAGGAAATAAAATGCCGTATCAACGTTCGGTCATCTATTACTGAGAGACCCTGTATTCCAAACATATGCACGAAACGTGCAATTAAACTTTGATCTTGATACTTTGTCTTTGATTGCTTTCCTTCTTCAATCGAGGTAAAATTTCTCGAGGACTCTTCGTGACTGATTGCATAATAAAGGCGCAGGTGAGTTAAAAGTTAATTGTACTTATCGCCATCGCGTATTCATATTGTGCAGAAGTCGTGAAACGCGAGAAAAATACTTTACAAGAGTTAAATTGCCGGTTTGCCAACCGCCGTTATTACACGCTGTCACCGTCGTAACTCGCTCGCAACTTTTTCCACTGTTTCTTGCGACGTTCGTTATTTCGCATGACAAATTGTAATACTCTAGAAGAGTGATTCGCGCGATAGACGCCCGTTCGTACTGCCACCTTGAGCGTGATTCCAGTTAACGTATAATACATCAACGAACCCTTATATTTAGTGACACACTTTTTGCCACTGATACTTGGCATACGAATAAAACATCATATCGTAGAGAGTTTTCACGAGTTTTACAAGTTGACACGTAATTAACACGTTCTTTGGTTATGTAGCACTCCGATCGTCTCGGATATTTTTCGAATGTTCGCGAGCTACATGCGGACGCGTACGAAAGAACGAGTGTGTGGACATGGAGCAGCAGTCGAACGAAGGGTTGGAATGCGAGATATGAATGCGTTAATGCGTCGTTACTGACAGCGACACGAATCGTTGATAGTACTTTCTGCCCTTCTTCGTACCATCGGTACGTTCCAATTCAGCTTGCTCCGCTTTTATCTCTCTCTCTCTCTCTCTGTTTTTTTTTTATTTTGCGAATTCTCCCTATTGGATGCGTTTTAATTTGACTCCTGTCGCTCGCGTCGATTGGCGTATCTGGCTTAAAATTCTACTAATAGTCGCCACTTGGCAGTCGCTATTATCGCGCGGGACACACTCTGAAATAGCATGAGCTGTCACATCGATGTCAAAGATTGATCGCACCAGACTGCGACATTCTCGTGGAACGTCGGGCGCATCGATAAACGCAATTGGTGTCGCATTGAAAACGATCTGAATGACTGGGTCTGTCGTTAGTCGTTCTGAAAAATTGATATATTTTTGGATTACCTCGAAATATCTCGTTATTCTCTCGTCTAATAATATTTGAACACATTTTTAACTGCGAAAAAAATTCCCAATCATGATCATAATTGAAATGCATATTGTGAAAAATAAACACCTGTCAAGGTACTTTCGATCTATTTAATGCGATATATTGATCTACGATCCCACATTAAATGTTTCGCATGAAACGTTCAAACAGCCGGTCAATTTCCATGGTATATGTATTGCGGGAGAAAAAATGCCGAGCTATTAGCCGCGTACGCCAAGGTATACTTTGCTCTTTTCACGGACCTCTAGCCCAACCAACGACAACGCGACCCCGTAAAGTGTTGGTTGAGCCCTCGACTTTGTATGCACGGAAAGCCGCTTTACGACGTGAACCAAGGGGACACGCGCGCTTCGGTTGGATACCAGCCATGATAATATGTAATGCCTGTATAGAGCCAAGTGGTCGATCGCGAATCTTTGAAGTTCTGAGCTGGCTTTCCGCCGACAAACCCGAGCCGGCACCGATCAAGTATTAAAAATCATCCCGGCAAAACTATGAGAAAGCCAAACATTACATCTCATACTCGACGACA